TAGTATATAATATATATATATATATATATATATATATATTACTAATATTTCTAACATTTAAACGTTCAATTTTTATGTGTTTTTTTTCTTTTATCTCTTATTAAAAATGGCACTTTTGGCAACATCAAAAAATGAAAATGTGAAATAATCGAAAATGTAATGCAATAATAGAATATTTGTGAAAGAAATAAATAAAAAAATATACAAGGACCGTTAACAAAGGCTAAAAACATTATCATTATAGAAATAAAGATAATTATCATTATCATTATCATTATGGAAATAAAGATAATGGTTTTATATATAGGCTTCAAAAAAAAAAGAGAGACGATTTGATAAAGTGATTAATTTTTATTTTCCTCTCGTCCTACGATAAGGAAGGTGGGAAAAGTACATTAAAATAAGACTAACGATTCTTTTTTAATCTCCGATGTCGGAATACTCCGTGACGGAAGAGCGATAACGCCGACATATGAACATAATATAATAATTGTCGGTTCAGCGAGCGACCTTTCGAGTTAATTGTGTAGTGCCGTTTATGGTTAATTTAATGCGACTTTTCTCGCATCGCGGTATTAAATTAGATTAGAGAGAACGAAAAAAAAAACCGGGAGCGTGCAAAGTAACCCCGATAACTTTTGAGACACATGCGTTACACATGTGGAACGTGTCGTACTTTAAACCACGCGTGATAATCACGACGTTGCCGACATTGTGGGAGATAAAGAGAGGAGGCTGTAGCAAAGTGCAAATGGGAAAACTTCTGACGCGACGCATGACGAAATGCAGCATTTTCATATTGTCGTATTCCTAACCATTGGCAACGATTGCACAAAGCCGAGATTATGAATTACTAAAGTAGTGTACGCGGTCAGTTCAATGGATAATCTTTGTATTTCAGAACTCGAAATTAAAGATCTTACAAATTTATTAATCATAAAAATTTTCATTCTCTTATTTTTATGATCAAATTCGTGAATTTGAAAAGACAAAAATTAAAACTAATATCAAAAGCAATACAGCACAATTAGATATTTTTAAAATAAATTTCTAAATTATTTGATGAACGAGCAAGATGAAATAATCCACCCATTGGAACAGATTTGATTCGATACTTTTTGCTTCTATCTCTTTAACTTATTTCTCAATATATACTCTATACGATATACAGGTCTTTAATAAATTAAATAAACAAATATGCACAATTACGTAAATAAATATGTAAATCAATGAAATATGCAAATCACTTGGTCGAGCGAGATTTCGCTAATGGATAAGTCGGCTGATTTTATTTCCTGACGAAAGAAAAAAAACAGGAAATCAATCAAACATGTGTGGAATCTTTGGTCACACGATCTCTCGTGCGGATGCAGCATCACGTTATCGGTTATGTAAACGTGGATCAGATGTTGCTCTCTATGTGAGAAAGGAGTGCATCCGTTATCTTGCATTCATCGACAGCGCGAAATCTCAGCTGATCTATGCACATGTATGTATGTATGTATGTATGTATGTATGTATGTATGTATGTATGTATGTATGTATGTATGTATGTATGTACGTATGTATGGTGCACACTGTCGTGTAAATTAAATGTAAAAAAAATCGTAATCTCCGCAAAAACGATCGGGTTATGTCTGCGGCTCTCTTCTACATCGCAAACTGGGAATAATCGCTTTATAAAATATATATTAGTATATATTTTCATTTTACTCCATGGCCCCTTTACACATTATTACACGGCGGATGTGCCGATAAAAAAAAATAATATTATTATTTCACGTTTCATAAGTTGCATTTCCCAATGGAAATTTTGGATTAGTTGGTCCGAAGTTAAAGATTTAAAAATTATGGGCATGATAAAAATTATCTTTCCTCGAACGACCTTTTCTCTTATAAAAATGTTCCTTGATTTAGCGATAATAAATAAAAAAAAATCAGTCATTATAATTAATTAGCTTACCTCGTGGTTTCAGAAATTAAGAAAGAATCGATAAGTTCATCGAAGAAGCAACTCTTTTGATATCAATTGGAATAGCAATGTAATGAACGTTAATGTTTTACGACGATGTTGATCATCGTCCGGATGACCGATAATAGACGCGTCGTTGATACATCAGAATGTTGTCAGTCGTGTTTTGTAGCCATTAAGAGAAGCGAGAGAAACAAGAAATCTGGATCTGGTTAACAATAATTGTCAAAGTCCACATTGATAAGCGTATAGAAATAATACGAGGGGAGAGCGAGGGGGATTCGATACCAGATCCCGGGAAAAGCGAAGAGAAAGAACGATGCCACGATCGTACGTGATTCAAGAAACACGAAGATTACCACTGGACTCTAAAATGAACTATTAACGAGTGGCTCTTGAACAACGGACGGAAACGATAAAACCGAGAGAGCGCGAACAAGGGGACAAAGAGCTCATCACTTATACGCTACATCTTTCTATTCTTGGATAATTTTAGATTTGAACTTTGTATTATAAAAAAACTTGGAGATATTAGAAAACTTATCCTTCGTTCTAGTTCTAAGTTCATTAGGGTAATTTCCTTTGAATCTTTTCATTTACCGGAATATTTTGAGAGACAATATTACAAAAAAATGTCTTTTTTTTTTTAAGTCAAAGGAAAATTGTTCTTCAACACATTTGTTTTGGGGAAATATATATCGTTTTTCATATACTTGCATCTTGCGAGTATTTTACGTTTAAAATATTATTAAATTTTGTAGAATAAATTTAATTCCATAAAATTATGAATTTCAAATTTTCTTGAATGATTTGAATGAGTTGATTTTCCTAATATCAATACAATTTCAAAAGTCAAATCAAATTCTAAAATTCTTTGAATGAAAATTATTCGAAGCTATGTGTTAAATTTCATAAAACACACTTTGCGACGCATTGGATTGCATGTGTCACAGAGAGGACATTATTACGTCGGCAATATTATTCTCGAACATTGCGAAATTTATTTAAATTGCTCATCCGGTATGACAGGAAAAGGATTTAATTAAACAAATTAATATAATCGAAATTCTATGGATATGAATTCGAGAGCAGTATATATTAAATATCATTTGGTGAATAACAATTTCTTGCGTATACTGTTATGTATGTAGATAAGAATTTTTATTTACTAAGAAAAAATTTAATGACGCATTTAACTTACAAAATAATCCCTTTCTATTAATATATTCTATTAATATAATTCAAGAATAATAAAAATCAAATGTCAGGAATTAAAAAAGACTAATGAACTATCTCCTACTTAGTTGCCTTTTAGCATTTTCGATGAATCATTCCAACGTGTTTTTTATATGTATAATGTAGTAACACTATGTAAATGTTTTTGTTCTAAAATCAGAATATTTATCCAAGCATAGATCACATTCGTTAGCGCTCTTTGTTAATTCTCTCGATCTATGAACTTATTTCCATCAGGTCAGGTTATCGACATCGAAACTTCTGCATTGTTGTAACAAAACAAAATTATGCGCACTATTTCCTGACCTATATGATTCAATAGTTAATCAAACAATATATGAATATAATCACAATGGAAATTATCGATTGTTCATAACAACGGCATATCGATTCATATCAATATATAATAAAACTTAGAACATCGTTACTAAAATTAGATAAATAAAAGTTAAATAAATAACCGTTCAGATTTTCGCGAGTACAGTAGTTTTAAAATATAATCACGTGATATTTTTTTCACTAAAAAATTTTTTAGGAAGAGAGATTGCAATAACGACCAAATTGTTGAGAAAAATCTAAAACTTTGTAACTGGAGGAAATTTCATATAATTAAAATAACAGCCTTCTGGCATGAGATAAATCCAGTGTACTTGTCAATTTTAGCGCAACACGAATGTTATTAAATATTCAACAATTACATTGTATGCGCCGCCATGGGAAAGCGAAATTGCCGTCGCCCTTGCATGTATTAGCATAGGAATCATGCTCGACAAGATGCGGCTGACGAATAATAAAGAGCAAGGTCGCGGCGAAATCGCGCACAATGCATTTTTGCAAATGCAATGGACGTTTCGGTACAACGGGCAAATGATAACACCAGATGGTAACACCAATCAGATCAGATGTATATTTTCGCGAGATTATCAAATCTTATTCCGAGACAAACAGGAAATATATTAACAGATAAGATTTTTCTGAATATTTTTCAATAACTATCAACGATATGTTCATCAATAATTCTCTCATCAGATTTCACAATCAAATTGAATTGAATATCAGAATTGATGATTTCTAGATAACTTTTATACGTTTTCTACATTTATATATCTAATTTATTCGAAAAAAAAAATCAATATTCGAGTTAAAAAAAAATTAAAAGAAATCGGAATGTAATTAATGCTTTGAAAGATA